CCCCCCCCCTCCCGGAGTGGAGCTGCACATGCGGCTGCTCCCTGCTCCGTCCCGCCCAGCCTCGGTCGCGCAGGAACGGGTCCCTGCAGCCCCTGGCCGATGGCAGGACAGTAGCCGCCTGTCAGGGGTCGTGAAGGGCTGAGGCCGACGCGGCGGCTCTCGGGCCTCAGAGTGGGTGTCTCCGGAGGCCATGGGCTACCCCGAGGTGGAGCACCGGGAACCCCTGGCCGCGGCAGCGCGGCGGGAGCGGGGGAGCCAGGGCTGCGGCTGTCGCGGGGCCCCTGCCCGGGCAGGCGAAGGGAACAGCTGCCGGCTCTTCCTGGGTTTCTTTGGCCTCTCGCTGGCCCTCCACCTGCTGACGTTGTGCTGCTACCTAGAGTTGCGCTCCGAGTTGCGGCGGGAACGCGGGGCTGAGTCCCGCCTGAGCGGCCTCGGCACCCCGGGCACCTCAGGCACCCTGAGCAGCCCCGCTGGCCTCGACGCCGACGGTCCCCTCACCCGCCACCTCAGGCAGCCGTCACCCCAGTCGCCGCCACTGGAAGCGGGAGAAACCGCACTCCCCCGAGACTCCCAGGACGCGCACCAGGTGAGTCACCTCGCCGGGGCGGCGGGGGCCCTCTCCCTTGGTGGGCAGGGCGGGGGCCCTGGGGAGGGCTCGGCCGCTCCGAGCCAAGTTCGAGGACCGGACCTGGAGGGGACCTGCGGGACGGGCAGAGAGGTTGCCCAGGGGCGGCGGTCCTTGCTCCCTGGCCCAGCTTCCCCAAACCCTCTCGGGACCCCTGGACGGGGGAACTCTGGCCCGCACCCTCCGCCCCAGGCTTTGGGCGGCCTCGGGAAATGTTGGCTGCACTCCCGGCGGGCCCGGCGCGGAGGTGCCGGCGTGCCCCTCCGGCGGAGTAACGGCAGTGGCTTGGCCCCTGGGCTCCTGGTGAGATTCTCTGCCCGCGGTGCTTGTTTTTTCGTGTCCGGAGCCGGTGCCAGCACCAGCAGGCACTCCTTTGGAGTTGGAGCTGTAAACAGCTGTAATAACTGCTCCACGCCTGTTGAAACGACTTTTAACCGCACTTAAGCTCAGGGTCCCTGTGCGCTGACCAGAACATGGGCTTGTTCACACTTACCTGCAATTTGAGACTGATTGTCCTCGGTGTTCTTGTGAGGATCAGCGCCCCAGAGGAATTCTGGTAGAAATATGCCGTCTTGCTAGGCAACTTCTAAAGAGCAATTTAAATACTCCATGGAAATAAAACTCACCCTTTGCATGCCGGTCCTGATTTTTTTTTTTTTTTACTTTTTTTTGGAGGGGTGGGGGTGAGTGTGAAGTAACTTACCGGTAACTTGAACACAGGGATCTGCTGATGGAATACTTAGGATTAGCCTCTGGAGAACCGTTTTTGTTTTGTTTTGTGTCTTCATGGGGTTTGCGCCCCCAATAGCAAACTTTGAGATTGGTATTTATCTTCAACTTTTTCTAGCTCTTTATTCAAGTAAATTTAATGCATTTTTATACTAAGTATCTCTTGACTGCCCTATTTTGTCCTATGTGAAACTTAAGACTTTAAGAGAAATATGCAAGAATCCATTTGAAATGGTTAAAGAATCATAATGAATTTGTTCCTTTTGGGTAAGAGGGTGAGTTGTGCAATAAGTTTCTTGAGGTGATGAGGTGGGACCCAGGCTTTGGATATTTCCTACCACATGCAGAGTAATTGCCATAACTCTAAACATTACTTGTGCTACTGTGACCACACAGCCAAAGCCAGTGGCACACTCATGATAACACCATACATAGTGTTACGACTGACAAATTTTCTACATGTGCATGGTAAAATTGCCCTGAGCCTTTAAATACCTTGGTAGCACACTCCAACTGATAAAACAGCTTATCAGAGAATAGAATCAGGATACATGTTTCTCATTCTTGGAACCTGAAACACTGTAGTTAAATGATAATTAGCTAGGATTCTGGCTCCCTTCATCTGTCCCTCTTAACCACCACCACCACTAATGCCCAGTAGAAATACTTAGCAGCTGAATATTGATATGCTGTGAAAAAATGAAGGCAGTTAGTCAAATGATGGCCAGGGCTTTTCGGCATTCAGATTGGACAGACCCATGTTTATAGACTGAGGGTTAACAGGGCAGTTGCACTGCAGAGTGTAGTGATAGTGCGTGCTCTGACAGCGCTATTAGGGATGTTTAGTTTTACCTGACCTTTGTATGGTACTTCCAATAGTTCTGTCTCGATTTAAATCAACTCCCCAATTCCTGTCCTTTATCCTTTCAATTGCATTCTTTGTAACCAGTAGAAACAAACATACAAGCTCCTTTCATTTGCTGACATCAGTTAGAATGGATTTTAGAGTTGCAAGGGACCACATAAGTCCATTTTGTTTGATTCCCACTGGGGAACACATGGCCTCTGAGAGGGCAAGTGACTTGTCTAAGATCACACAGCTATAGTCAAAATTAGAATGGAAATTGGTCTCTTGACTCCAAGTTCAGTGGCCATTACCTATACACACTACCCACTAGAGTCTTTTGGGGAAAAGTGGGATGGAGTTTCATTGTAAAATTTTAACAAAGTAGAGGGCTCAGATCTGCATGATTTATTCTACTCCACCTACATTTTGGCCATAGTTTGACCATGTATTCCTAATTCTTCCTGATTCACTCTCAGCACAATTGGAGTAAACTTTGAAGGAATTTTATCTCAGATTGAAATTAAATTGAACTTGAGTATATTAGTTTTAGTATTCCATGCACACAGGCACAAAGGAAAAGTTGATTGGCTATTAAACTGATATTGCTACGTCTTGGGTAAAATTTCTAGTGCCCTGGTGCACCCTCTGCTGGCTTTGCAGGGACATTTAATTGCAGTATCTGCTGACAGTCAAGATTCTAGGTTGTGCTGACAGATTCTGATTCATAAATAAGGAAGTAAACAGCCTTGTGGGATTTGGCCACGTAGGTCATAGTTTTATATTTTAGTTTTTCAACACAAACAGCTGCTGTTACAGCAACTCTTAGATGGAGAGGGAGAAAGATAAAAATATACACCCTTCAATAGCTAGTAAGTACATTCAAGTTTTTACCAGTTTATCTGAGAGCAGTGAAAGCAAAATGATGACAGAAAATTGTAGGAAGAGTTCATGAGATCATAGGGCCAAAATATTCGAGGTATTTCATTGTGTAAGGTCATGTAAATGTATCCATGCTTATGAGGTGATGGGCTCATTGAGACCTCACTCAAGATGTATGTATGAAATCTCTCAATTTAAAAAAATTTAGAACAAGATACAGAATTAAATCAGGGCAGCCAGAATACATAGCAGAGAGATCAGCAAAGTTCTCTAAGGGAATTGTTGGAAAAGTCTCAACGGTGGGGACACAGTTGCTGATGATAAAAGTTAAGAAGGTCACTTTGGACCTTCTGGAATTATCACTGACTCTTATCTAGATACTCATCAGTGATGACACTGGGAGCCAGCTTGTCAGTCTCTAACTTAGGCAATATACAGTATGATTGTTAGGATAATAAATAAATATAAACAAACAAATAAAATCACTATTGATCATTCTGTGAAGAATTTGGCCAAGTTGTGATTTTGATCTTCACAGCCAAGAATATGGTAGGCATCATCAGGAAGGGTGTGGAAAACAGACAAAACAATGGTCATATTTTTCACGTCAAAGAGCAAAAGTGGGCCCTCCCTGGTGGCGCAGCGGGTTAAAGCACCGCTCTAAGAAGCTAAAGCCACTTCCACTTGAGTTGGATTCCAGCCTGCCCCGGAGGTGACCACATGGCGAGGCAGACCTCTCCTGACCCGCCCGCTGCTCCCCTCAGCAGTGTACCTTGTCGATCTGCCTGTTCTGCTCCCCACTCTGTTTCTGGTGAAGCCTCTCGCCAACCCTGAGCCTCTGGCCTGTACCCCAGTTCTGTATGCACAAATAAATCTTTAAAAAAAAAAAAAAAGAGCAAGGCCCTCCCTGGTGGCGCAGCAGGTTTAAGCACTGCACAAAGAAGCTTAAGCCACTTCCGCATGAGTTCGATCCCCACCTGCCCCGGAAGTGACCACATGGCTTGGCAGACCTCTCTTGACCCGCCCGCTGCTCCCCTCAGCAGTGTGCTTCATCGATCTGCCTGTTCTGCTCCCTACTCTGTCCCTGGTGAATCCTCTCACCCTCCACATCTCTGGTCTGTACCCCCGTTCTGTACAAATAAATAAATAAATCTAAAAAAAAAAAAGAGCAAAAGTGGATTTCTAACCACAGTTGTGTAGGAAATTCTAGTGACAACATCTCAAGAAAAAGCTGGCAGCTGATTAAAAAGTCCCCAGAAACCCAAGCAATGAATCAGAAGAATGGGAAAATTTCTAGTTTTTTCAGTCTGAAGAGAGAGAAGTTGAGGTAGGGTTATGATAGAAGGTTACCAAACTATGAGCAAGATGAATAAGGTATAGATTGATGTTATTTTAACAATCTGTTTCAATAAATAGAAAGCCTAATATAAGCTAGGCCCTATGTTAGGTATTGGATATCTTTGAATATATACTTGAGAGTTTATTTGGCCCAGTGAGGGGGGAGTGGTAATATAGGTAGTAGCTTACTCAAATTACTGCCTTCAGATAATTTAAACACAAACTCAAAGGTATAAGAAGTATTCCAAAAAATAAGCATGGGCAGATTAATAAGGGTTTATTCTAAACTTGGGGGATATTTAGAGTGTCTTCTTAATTATTTGAGATGATATTACAGAACTCAACCTTAACTTTCCACAAAATATTGCTTTGTTTAACTAGATAGAATATTAATGTATCCAGGTTAAACATTCCTTCTTGGCTGGTTGATTAAGAAAATGACTAAGAATCATTAAATCCAAGAATTATTTTTCAGGTGGGGAGGGTCCAGATAAAATATTTACTTGTTTAAATCTAGACATGCAAGGTTTTTGATAAACTGGTTTCATAACACCTATCCCATTTTCTCTTTCACTAACTGCTCCTGCAACCCACCATCTGTATATCATGTCTTAGAATTACTCTATACATATTAATGCTATTGTATTGATACATTTCCTGTCTTTATAGTAGAAGTCCTTGGAAATCTGCCTACTTTTTTTCTGTCTTTTCCCACAGTGCCTGACACAGTGCTAGTTACAACTAGTTAAATACTAGTTGAATTGAGTGTTTTTTGGGGAGGGTGTTTGGAGATGTTTATATAAAACAAGAAAATTTTCTCTTTATGTAACAGGCCTGTTGGCCTCAGGTCTTGCTAAGTCTGTGACTTGTCAGCTATGCTTAGGTGAGTTAATAGTTCCATTAGCAATGTTTCATTGGTTTCCAGAATCATCAGAAAGTGTACTGGAGAAGATCCCTATCCACATTACTTCTAAGGCAAACATTTTACTTAATGTGTGGTTTGATGTTTGGTTTTGTTTGCATTTAGGTCTTATCCCAGTCTTTCTCTCTTAGGTCTTATGGAAAATAACCTGTATTTTAGTTGTAACTGCCTTATATAGAAGGCCTTTTTATACTAGAAAACTGAAGTCATTTAATCCATAGAATATTACCAAAGAAATCACTTGCC